CTGGGGCCATCTCCTTGATTGTATGCTTTAAAGACTCTAGGGAGACATTTTGAATATGTAAACACAGATGAAACATTATATAAACACTTTATTTTAACTGAATACAAATTGCCCTTTTCCCTCCCCCCTATTTTGATCCTCAGGGTCACCCCAGGGTCACTCCCCGCCCTATCTGCACACCACTGATCCTAAGCATAAAGTAGTATCCTCTATGGAGATGGTGTGGTGTCTTCCAGGTATGGATGACAGATGATTCATTTTACCCTCATTTACCAGTGGAAATAATGCAAGAGTCCCTAAATGCCCACTGATTCTAATCTTCCTCCAAGAGCTTTGGGCACTTTTGACAAGTCATTCATGTCACCTGAGCTTTTCACCTGAATTTTTTCATGATAGTATATTTCTGTTACTAAACCCTCAGCCATACTTTTACATGACAACATCACATCACCAAGATGCAATGGGTTTACTTGAAGCAAAAAAAAAAAAAAAAAAAAATCCATTATACACAACTCCAATGGTTTATGGCTTCACTGAGGCTCCATAAAAAAAAAATCACACAAAAATAAGGCTAAAGTATGTGTATTTTTCTCCATTCCAGACAAATGCTATGTCTTAAGAGTTCTCTTTAAATCCACCTGAGAAAGTCGATTCATAAAGGGCCAAGAAGTTGTAGGTCAAGCATGATCATTTGTTTAGTTTATGGATGAAGTTTATAGTGTGTAAGAGTTATGTTGAAAGTAGGAAAGGCTTTGTGCCAGTCATGAATGGCCTAGAGGAGCTATGGGCACGGTATTCCCGGTTTAGTTGTCTAGACCTTACCCTTGTGGGGTGAGGTCTAAACATACTCCAAGCTTACCATGGCCAGTAATGAAGATTTTCTACCTCAATTTTGGGTATAGGCTTACTTCTTTATCAACAAGCCCCACTGATTTTAATCCCTCCGATTCCTTGACCCCAGGCCATCCTTGACGACTCAGACTACAACTACTACCCCCCGCCTCAACACTTTTCACCCCAGTCCAGTCTAAATTATCTTCCCCGAGGTTATTACTCAACCTCTATGAAACATTCCTCTTCTAACATCCTCTACTTCATCTACTGCTATATCCTCCTTATCCTTATTAACCACCTTTCTGCTGTACTACTTAGCTCAACACCACTCCCTGCTCCACAAGGCCCCATCCCTCTGTTACCACACCATTATAAATCTTTAAAGTATTCTATTTAACCCAGCCAAATGGGATCATTTTTTTATCCCCTCAACAGACTCTTACTCTGATAACTCACCTCTTACAATTATGCCTCCAAAAACAAGTAGGTATAGTTCCTTCTGCAGTAGTCTTGATCATTCACGCCATGAAATAGTAATATTTAAGGGGATCGTCATTTTCTTTTTTTTTAACTTGCCGATTTTGATGAAACTATCACCCTTTTATTTAGACACTAGCCTGATCTCTGTGGTAGTTTTTTTCGAAATCAGCCAAACAGTTTTTGAATTATAGTAAAAAAAACAAGAAAATCACCGCAAAAAAAAAAAAAAAAAAAAATTTTGGTCCCAAAAATAATATTAGGAAAAAATTGCACAGTTATTCTAATTGTTTTATTATACAGAACCATCCTTTATCTAGCAAATGTTGGGAGCACTTTTTTCGATTTCGACTTTATTTTTATTTATTTATTTTTTTTTTTTAAACGAGTCGACTGGCAGTATCCAAAAAAAAAACAGTATTCGTCACTTATATATCGACTTTATGCGAAACACAGGAAAAAATCGAAATTCCGTCCTACGTTCCTAAGACAAACTATTTATCTACAAAAAGAGCCATAATACATTTATTTTGGACTATATTTGCTTTAAAAAAATCGCTTGAAAAAAAAAATAAGTATACTTCCGAAATAACCGTCATTGAAGTTTTTTTTTTCTCTCTTCATAATCATTATGGTACGAAAAATTAAAGGGAGAAGCATAATCTTCCTACACCATAATTATCTATCATATACCTGCATTCCAAAGTCAACCAGACATTGCCAGTATGTAACGGTTTCTCGTATAGTACAGAGTGGTGGCAGTGATCTGGGGGGTCTATAGGCCTACATTGACATTTTTAAAAATTTGTCAAAATCCCAAAAAAATCATACAGCCATTCTGATTTCATGTCTGACTAGAACTATCTATTATAATCAGAAGCCATTTTTGAGAAGTTGACCTTACTTTTTTTTGGTGAACATTTTTCGAAGGTGACTATTTAAACACCCTCATAGGAGATTTTGAAAATATGTCACTTTTACAAGAACCACATGAAAATATTGCAAACCCTTATGGCAGCATGTAATAGAACTATTATTCAGCTACAAAATGAGCCATAATACGTTCAAATCGGACTGAAAATACGTGTGATATGAGTAAAAATGTGAAGGAGCTAATATTCGCGATCTTTTTCCTATTTATTATTTATACATTTTGCAAGACAAATCACGTGCGAAATACTTGTTATTGATATAATTATCTATTATTTACCTATTATTATTGTTCTAATGGGGTTTTACAACGTATAATATTGGTTGAAAGTATAACTTTTCTCCAGTCGTACGAGAATCATATTGTCCTTTTTCTCGGCGCGGCCGGGCCGTCAAAGGGGATGACTCACGCTCTTTACCTAAGGAGAGAAAGAATGCACAACTCTACGGGGCCGCGTAGCCATTTTCACTCAGACACGTGAAAGTCGAAAAACGAGTACATTGCGGTGTAAAAATATGTATATAAGGTATACAAGCACATATAGATAATTTTCGTGTACCCTATGAAATTTCGTTTATTTATAATGTTACTTCCGTTTGTTTCTTTGTTAATTGTTTATGGTGTTTTTTTGTTTGTTTTCTATTATTTCCAAAAGTTATGAACACATTTTAATGAGATTTTAACCGAAGGTGTGTTTTAACCTAACTTAGACACTTAGCCTAATTAATATTCCATAAAATTTTGGTGGTCCGGAACATTTGGCAAACTACCCCCGTGGGGGGCGAGGTTTGCATTTTCGAAATGTTTTGCTCATAGATCAAACAAACTATGTATGATGAAAACATAAGGAAAATAAAGTACACCATATGAAAGACATATGTTTAGTTATTGTATGGAAAATTTCTTCATTATCGTTTTTTGGACGCTTGCCGGATTTTTTTAATTATTCCGAAAAAAAGAAGGTTGGTCTCATCTTACGTGAAATTTGATAAGCTTTCAGGAAATAATCTTATTTTTTATTATCTCTAATCATTGCATCACAATTGCCGATTTTCTAAGGTAACGTGAAAAAATATATATTTCAGTCGACATCGAAAATGGCTGCTACCACCTAAAAAATAACGGTCAGGCCTTGAAATTTTCAGGGGAGAACCGGGGCCTAGAAACTCTAAGAAAATGCATTTAACTCAATTTCAGCAAGATGGGCGAAAATTGCCCCCCCCCCCCCCAAAAAAAAAAAAAAAAAAACACACACACACACACACAGACGATCCCCTTAAGTCCCAAACACGTGGGTTATGTAACCTGATTGACCTCACAGGCAAACCTATTCCTTCTCAGCCTCATCCCTCCCTCCATGCATGTACCTGAATTGTCTCCATCTCCCTGAAAAACTGCCATGATAAGGATTGGTCAGATTGTTGAGGACTTACTAACCTGCCTCGTGGCCTGTGATACAGTATCATTACAATGCTACTATTATCTCTAGAGGCCGCAGTAAGTCCTCCATCAAAATTGCCAAGATTACTTTCCATGACCTTCCTCTTCATGTTTATATTGGCAGAGAAAACCCTCTATCCAACCATCTCAACCTCCACCCCATCAGTGTCAGAATCCTGAACTGTTATATGACTTTTGACACTTAGTACACTTAATCATCAACTACCCTCCTCTTTACCCTTTTCATTAATAGATCTTTCTTTAATACTATATGACATTTGATATCTAGCACATTTATTTTGCTTTGTAACAATTAACCATTTACCATTGCATATAAAGCACATTGCAGTTTTCACGAAAATCAAACTGTTGGAACCTTGTCATTACATCATTTATATAGGAAGAGTGCTGGTAAGATTATATACTTAATTTTTTTTTGGATAAAATCAGCTATAAAAAGAGGAAAGTAAATCATCTGGTTTCTAAAAAAATATCAATAATGAATTTTCTTCAGTCAAAATTGGGTTATTTGTTGGAATCATTAAATTAATTCTTTTCAAATGTATAAGACAATGAAAATTTTTCATTTTATTGTTTTAATAATTTTTAAAGTGTGTTTCAAGTGAGAGAAAAAATATATATATTAAAAGTATTTTTGCTTGAGTATCTTTTGAAAAAAGCAACTATGGTTTCTAATATTTTCAGTAATCATATTTAGATGTTTTCCATCCAAAAACAGATAATTGCAGTAATTATTCTCACATTTATTTCCATACCTGTTTATTATCTTTTATTGTGTTCTATGCCATGAATGTGGCCATTTTCCTTCTTTTCTTGGCATATATTTTTTCATTCATGGCTTCCCTTATTTTTGTATGGTACTACAATAGAGCTTATAGGCTGTTTCTGCCTCTTCATAAAGGGTAGGAATTGAGTTGGCTGGCTGGCACAGATAACAAACAATAGTTCACAACTTTCAAAAGTTAATTCATTTTGCTATTCACCTTACTTCTTTAGTGTTACTAATGTTGTATCAAGTTACTTTAAAAAGAAAAAAATGGCTTGATCTGGTATTGCAAGTAAGAGTTATATACATATATAAAAAAAGGGGAAATGTTGTTTGTAATAGTTTGTTAGGTTGATGAGTAGACATTAGAAGGTATAAAGTGCTAAATTCTTTATATGTATTCAGAAAAGTAAAATAGTTGTCTTTCTTTTATTACATGCCAAAATTGCAATTTTTGGAAATGAAAAAAAAAATATTATTAAACATTAAACATTTTAAGCTATATAACAAAATGGTTACAAAAAGGCTATATAACATTAATATGTTTAATGATGACTTTTGATATATGTTGCACAAACATGTATAATCACTATCACACAGTGGCTCAACTGGTCAACCTGGGCTACGTGCAGTCTATAACATCATTGTCTTCTTCACCCATTTCATCATTTTCAATCATCTTTGCAATTATAACACATCTTGGCATGGGGCACAAACAGGGACAGGGTGTTCTTCTATTTCTGGGTCAAGCATCTCCACTGTCATTGTGTAGTGCCGCACATTGTCATCACTTTGGGCAAACAATATCTTCCAACCCACCACTTCATCTTTCTCTACCAAATTCTCAAACTCTAGTTGTGTGGTTGAGACTACAGTGTCCTGTACCTCTCTTATCTTCTTTACTGTCATCCTTGATGGAATTCTTGGTTTGTATTTGATCACTTTGTTGTGGTTCATGATTTTCAGATTTTTCAGCTGAGCTTTTTTCAACTTCAACATCACTGGTTTCAAGAGTACCATCCTGACAGCTTAACTCGATCTCTTGGCCTGTTTTTGCTGAGCCATATCCCAGAACAACCACAGTTTGCTTCCAGTGTGTTGGGGTGCTTATGGGTGAAGTTGAAAGTGTGATTAGTGTTCCCAAGTTTTCCCCTTCCTCACTATACAGTATCCATCAAAGTCACACTCAAACCACAGACAGAGACCCTGGTAAGATCCAGACTTTGTGATGCCAACAAAAGTAGTTTCAGAAAACAGCTTTACCTCTTCTTCAGTTACCCATCTCAGGTTGAACTTCTTAATACATGTTGGTTCAGCTAACAGGTCTGATTCAGGAATAAGGCAGACTTCAGGTTTTATCATTTTGGATCTGAGAGCAAACTGTTTGACAGCAGACATGTTGAATCCATAGACATTATCCCAGTAATTTATTTGTTCTTTATAAAGAGATTGTAATGAACATGGACATGCAAATATTCTTGCTTCTGAAGGAAATACTGTGCCTTCATCTGAAAGGAACATATTCTGGCCTTTATAACTGAATTAAGCATGGATTCATGTAATAAGTAAAAGCCCATCCATTCAGACACAATTATGTCAACTTTTTCATCTTCTGGAAGTGATATGTCTTCCACTCTTGAATGGAACACTTGAATAACATCACCAAATCCATTATCTTCTGCAACTTTTTGAATAACTTCTGCCATGCCACTGGCTTCTACAGCATACACTTTTTTGGCTCCAGCAGATGCCATAAACAAAGATAAAATCCCTGAAATAAAAATTACATTAGGTCTTCCCTGAGCAGTTTTAAATAACATGCTTGTCTAATGTCTACTTTTGCTTCTGTCTCTACCATGTTTACTCCTTTACTAATTCTTACCCTATACTTACTAATTTTGACATAAATGCAGCATTCAGATATATTCTAAAAGAAAATACTTGCCTGTCCCTGCTCCAACATCCATGGCAATTTTGTCTTTGAATAAATGTTTGTTTTTGGTAATTGCATCATAATAGGCTGTTGTTCGAGGTTTGTCGCTGACCATTAGTCTATGAATCTGAAAAAAAAATTAAGCTATATATTGCTCAAACCAACTAATACTTTTAACTGACCATGCAATTACAAATAGTTTCAATTATACATTTGCATTTGTCAGGTATGTACACTTTACCAAGTGATTTATTTCATTTTGTCTACATGGCTTATAACCCAGGCTTCAGTTACCAGGCATACATGCTCTCATGTATACCCCATTCCTTATTTTTTTATTCTTATTTCTAATATTATTATTGTTATTATTTACAATATTATTTTTTGAAACAATCAAGGAATAGGATAAACAGGCGAGATCAGGTAGGCCTACTAATTGATTCCTTGGTGATAAGTACTTGTGGAGCCCTCTGCATGTAAATAAAAACACCAAACTAAAACAATGGACATCACATATGATGCCAAAATATACATGACATCATAATATCTACATGTAAAGGAATATTATTCATCAATTATCTCACTCCAAGCTCAAAAAAAAAAAAAAAAAAAAAAAAAAAAAAAAAAAATCTTACCTCTACATCTTCATAACTCTTAAAGTATTCTTGTGAGTCTTCAGTGAGAGGTGAGGGGTCAATTGTCCCCATACTTGCTTCACTGAGGTCTGAGGCTTTACTTGTATCTGCAATGTCACCGTCCTGCATGGCTGGACCTGTCATGTGTATATAAATAAGACCATTTCCCTATAAATTTCTCACTCATCATAACAATTTACATTAACAATACAAGTTCTGTGAACCTACTTATGAAATCAAACTAACCATATTCAAAGGATATTCTACCTATATTGCATGTCCTGTGCTGATTTCAGCAAATATTCCTTTTCAAAGCTTGGACACATTATAATTATGACTATTTTATAGAATAGAATTTCACACATTCCCCAATTTTAATGGCTTTATTCAAATGGAAAACTGATAAAATAAATGCCACTTTATATATATTCTTGTTTTAAGCAAATATTAAACTAAGTTACTTATTTTACCCAAGTTTTGGAAATAACTGAACTCTCTTGGCTTCACAGAATCAAACATTTCAATTTGCAAATTTAAGCACAATAACTTATCTATGATTCTTTATGCACCATAACAGAAAATTCACCCGAGCTTTTAAAAACAGATTCTTCCCTTGTTACTATGGCACCCTTGTTTCATCCATTTATTGCTATAACATGCTCAATAACCTATAAATTTTATCCATAATTAGACAGAGTTATGAATTCAAGGAATTCAAGAAATATAATCAGTAATACCAAATATTACATTATAATAAATTGTGTCACTGAACAATGCTCGTTCAACTGTAATTATATGTCTCCTCAAAACCAATCTAGTGTCCAGTGAGCACTTTCTAGCCTTTGCAGCTAATTCTGAGGTTCAAATAACATTGGTAAGTAATATCAATGATCAACCTGTGAGGTAGGGTATAGGTTCCAAGCTCCCTCATCTTCCTGCTATGTAAGTCAGCTGAACCAGGTCACATGTAAAGTCAAAGATAATTTACTCAGGACTGCCTTTTGAAAATAAAATATATTTTTGCTGAGAGTTTGTCATTTTTAAGCATTATGACACTGACATAGCATTCAAAGAAAGGGGAAAAGTTCATGGTTTGTTGTGATCAGCTAATCATGCCTATGAGCACCACTGAGACAATCCCACATCAGATACACTAACAAAATTGGTCTATGACATTGGATCTATAATGCAGCTGAAGATCTACATTCCTAGCTATGTTTTTTACATCATAATACACCTGATATTTCAAAAGTATATAAATACATATTTGTTTTATTGTTGACCAAAAAATAGAATGAATGAATTTTATTATGACTTATGATTAACGATATTATAGTTTTGTTAAATAAAATCATCAATTAATATGCATTTAACAACTATTCATATGTCATGTTACATTTCAACAAGCTAATCACAATGATTATTACCTGGCTTACTGTTTCAAGAAAGTCCTTGTTTTATTTTTGGTGGCCAGAAACTTCAGAGACCATAGTCATATCTTACTGCTACCATTAGCCGAGATGTTACTTATACAATTATCTAACTTTATATGTAATGACATCTATGAAAAAGTTCAACTTGGTCACTATTCTGAATAGTTACTTTCCATCAAATATGCTGTTTATCTTATCACAGAGTATCATTACTGATATCACATATAGTTTTGCTGGTGTAATTATAGTTTACCTAATCATTCATTACAGACACAGTATATGGGAACAATACATCATCTACCAAACTAGAGCAACATTTCCTCTAAGACTAGTATTCAAAGCAGAAGAACGGAAAATTTGAAATCACATAAATTTGTTGTGATGCCGACCAAATGCCAAGTCAAATTTTGGCCCTTAGATTTATTGGAAATGTTCAGGATTGTGGATATTGTTTGTTTGTTTTTTCTATGATATAACATACATATATGGATAGTAGAGAGTGACAGGACACCATCAATAGCAATGATATCATGATCAGCTATGCAAATATTTCCTCAAATTAAATAAATTTTTTTTTTCATGCACACTTTCCTTATAAATTGTCATCAAATAAAGATCCAATGTCTGCTGACTCTAGAGATTAATGATGGTAAATGGTCATTGGCCTTTGTCAAAGTGCAGTGCATAGAGGTCATGGTGACTGGTCAACATAGATAATATCAATATTATAAAGTATTAAGCAACTTTCTTCATAACTGATGGGAACGGCATCTTATGTCATTCATGGAAAATGTCTTCGATTCAGACTCCTGTTCCTTTATTGTTTTCCTTGTGGCCATTCGACATTATAATTCAGCCTATCTGTTAATGAGGGCTAATTGTGTAAACCATAGCTTTTATCGGCATACTTCACTATTACTTAGAAATTCCTCCGATATACTTTGTGCTTTCTCCAGAAAATTGTTATTAAAATTGTTCAAACTGAAACTACCATAAATGAACAATGCACATCATGAACATTATAACTGCCTCATGAGAATAAAACTGTTGAAAAGTAATGACTGGAACCGTTGATAACAAGTAATAAGAAAATAAATCCCCAGTTTCACCTTGCATCCACGTTTTGAGCTATGTTTACAAATGTTTCGCGTTCATTGACGAGAAAATAATTTAGAGACAGTTGACTTGGATTTAAAATACATATTTCTAAATATTTCATCCTTTCCCTATAGCCTTGAACTAAAAAAGTTAATTATATATATATATATATAATATATATATATATATATATATAATATATATATATATATATAGCATAGAATATAAACAATAACGGTTGTTATTGTACATTTCAATCGATAACAAATTTCATTACATACGCGGTCGCGGACTTAAGCACATGAGAAGTGGACGAGGGAAATTGATGAAAACAGTATTTCTAGCTATACGAAATTCTGCAGGTCTCTTTCATATCTCTGAGGGAACAAACAAACACACGCACACACACACACACGCACACACACACACGCA